TGCGGTAGGGCGGTTTGTCTTTTATTTTTCCCTTAAAAGCTAAACTGACATATACCGAGCAAAAGTATGGCCCACATTTTCCAGGTTTGATCTACAGCGTCATTTCACAATAGCTTTTTCTTCACCAAGTTCACAGACGATAACGGCACTGTTGTGTAAGACAATAGTCCGGAATGCGATGTAAATAATCTCCGAACATTCCACAGAAGCAGTTGCCAGTTCGGTATTAGTGTTTTCTCGGAGAATGTCGATCAAAAATAGACGTGACATTTTGGCCACTCGAGAAGCTGTCAATGGCGCCTCGAGTTTGACGAGTGGCTGACCTTTTTTTTTCGTCACCCGCTGGTGAGCGGATACTTGGAGTGAATGACGCGCCCTGCGGAATGACCTTTTCCTCCTGAATTTGGATACCTCTCTCAACACATGACCCCCCCAAAATAGACAGGAATGTATTTCCTTCTTTCTTTCTTTAGCATGAAAAGTATTCACAACGAACGCCCTCGCTTTTGCTCCCCGTTGCATGTCCGTTTCCTTTTTCTTCCGTTTGATTCTCTGTCTTTGTGTCCTCCTTCTCGTCCTTCTTCTCCTCTTCATAATCCTCCCCGTCCTGACCCTGCTCCTGTTCACCTTCGAGAGCAGCCGGCTCTTTTGTGCTGAAGTTCTAACTACCACCTGTCCAAGACAATCACATGTACAAACGACCATTTCCCACTTTGACTGATGTTTCTGATACTCTACCCATGTACAGTTTTGTATCCCTCGTTTCTCGGGTAGACCTTTCTGGTTTCCAAACGTGTTCTTCTAACGTTTATGTACCAGAATCTAGGCTGTTTTGGTTTAGGATTCATTTTGCAGTCTCTGCGACACAGCTGACCTTTACCATGTGAAAACTGCCCATAGTTAAATACATTCAAAAGTGATTCATTTCACAAAGACGGCCGGCTAGAGGCAAAATCTGCCATTTTTGGACAATTTAATAAATTTCTCCAAAATCAAACATGAACGTTTCCATCAAACTGTACCAAAATGGCAGCCTTTGTCCACCCCTCCCCCACCCCCCTCGAAAGGAAAATCCTAGCTCGCTGGCTGGCCCCGACTTCACGTTTCAATGTGCCATGAGGGTGTTTTTACGCCCCCAATTTAGATCACTTAGGAGGCAGGTTTCTGACCTAACCTGTCAGCGTCACCCCGGTCTGAGAGAGACATAACATTAACATCTCAATAGAAAGACCAAGATACTCGAAAAGATACTCTCCCAGTCGGGAATCGAACTTCGATTTCCTGTGTGCGACAGCAAAGATCGTACATAACAGATTGCTCAGCCAAAACAAAAAAAAATGTCAGCGGAAGTCCGCGCTTTACTTCAGATGGCGCTTCGGTCGTTGTTTTGAAGCTCTCTTTCGTTTCTCCAAACGATGAATAGGAATAGCACAGTTTGTTATTGTTTTTCACACTCGTAGGAGGGTAACTCTGTTCGCAAAGTCCACGCTTTTTTCAAAGAGGACGCCGCCGAATTTTGAAGACACCTTTTTTAATTTGCCCAAAGAGAGGAGTGAACTATCTTGTATACACATCTTTGGCGACAACGAAACGTCTAAGTGCTACACCACAGACACCGGTCCCGACTGTACCAAATACATTAAAGTTTTGAGATTAGCAATGTGCCCTGGTTTCTAACAGACATATTCTTCTTCTTTGATTTTCGACTGCCAAGACGACTCTACCGTCTATGGTGGCAGGCTGTTACAATCGCGCCTGTGAGGGCTAACACGGGGCTGAAAGGAATTCAGAGGGTTTTTTTAAAATTTTTTAAAAAGTGTTTTGCGGCGCTCGCAAGTGCATAAGGTCATATGAGTGCGCGGGACACATCAAACATTTTCAGATTTTGCAACAATTTTGCCCGAGTGGCGGCCGAAGCCTACTCATCGAGTTTAGGTCGCAACTTGTACACGGGACCTCCGAGATTTTTCGCCCGTGTCTGAGAATGCTAGATGTAGATCTCACTTTCCATAAAATCAGGGGAGTGGCTGAAAAACAGCAGTAAGAAGGAGCCAAGAAAGCCTGCATATGGCGCTCATATGACCTTATGCAGTTGCGAGCGCCGTAAAACCCTCTACTATAAAAACAAGCTTGCAGAAAGAGTCAGGAGCCCAGAGGAGGGTGCAAAGAAGGTGAGCGGGTGGGGGCAGAAATTGGAGATAAAATCAGACGACAGAGAGCGGGAAAGGAGATGAAAGGAGAAATTTTTAGAGAAGAAAATTTTCCGTCGCTGTCCAGATTCGAACCCGTGACCTATTGAATGAGAGGCGAACACCGTAACCTCTCGACCACGAGAGCCCCCTAATTCAGAGTTTGGGCAGATAGACGGAAATATTATGAATATCTTCACTTAAAAGAAATCTACTTTTACCGGCGTCTTTTGTCTAGCGGTAAGGCGTTTTCGTCGTCGCACACAGAAGACTGGGGTTCGATTTCCGAGTAGGGAGAACTTTTATCGAGAATCTCGGTCATTCAGCTTTGATGTTGTATCTCTCTCATCACAGGTTTCCCTTAGAGTTAGATGAGCCAAGGTCGAAGCCTGCCTCCTAATTGGTCTAAATTATGTTGATGGGGGCATAAAAAAGACCAACACTAAAATCCACAAAAGGTAACATGGCCTTGACTAAAATTTGGATTGTGAAATGAAATGGTTTATTAATTTTAGGTTATGGCGGGGCCTCCGTGTTTAACGTACATTTCCGAAAGTAAGCCAAATGGGAAATATAATTTATGTAAAGTGCCTTTCAAAAGGACACGTCGGACCGAGCTGACGCTCGCGCTCCCGAATCCACAATCTCACAATTAAGGGTCCTGTAGCCTAACCACTAGGCCACGGGCACCACCAATTTGAACAGTCATAAAATTAAACCAGTGTAGGCTTTCAAAATAATGATATAACACGCGCTGGGAGGTTGAGCGTGTATTTGGAGATGTTTAATTCTTCTCCTCCTTCCTCCTCTTCCCCCTTAATTCCATTATTGTTCTACTACACTGCCGCTGCTGTTGGGACTACTAATACTGCAACTACTACTTCTGCGACAACTACTGCAGCTGCTACTACTATGTAACGACTAAACCGGTACTACTACGACTACGAATAGGCTTACTAATGCACTCATTGAGGACGTACATTCTGGTCATTCAGCATCGCTTGAGAACGCACTATTTAGGGGCACTATAAAGTCTTAAAATTTTTTGGACAGATTTACGGCACTTGCAACACAATAAAGTCATACAAGTGAGGAGAATAGAGGTTTTACAATTTAAGAGAGTAACATAATAGAAGGAGAAGAGATACGGACGACAGGTGTTTAATAGGAAATGAGGAAACCGCACCAGAGCACCCTCCAACCACTCACAATAAATAGGCCTATGTATAAACATATTAAACCTCATAGCGCTGTTACCTTCGTTGGACATAACCATGATCAAACGCAAAAATGGGTGGGAAGTACTGTTGTTAGTGTTAGCTTCGTTGGTATTGATCTCGCTCGAATCCACAACTGGGCACTTGAGAACATGCTGACTGCTTGAGGAGATTTCATGGCTATCTGCCATCTACTCACTGAGCTTAGTTTTAGTAGGATAATAAGGTCATATAAGTGCCAAAGACGGCTGGTGTCTCTATAAATAAATTATTGATGGCCAAGTGCCGAAGATTAGACGTGTCACAAGAGAGAAACAAACAAAAAAGGAGGAGAGAAAAGGACAATATTATTATATTATGTTTGAGGGGAAAAAAGGAGTAAACCCCACCACCGCATCAGCCAACCACTCACACTCACACCACTGAACTCAGGCCCTACAGGGACGGGGGTTACATTCAGAGAGAAGGGGACAAAAATTGAGGCATTATTGTAAAGTGAACTCATACTTGGAAGTGTGAAGTTTATTTTCAATATCCTCCCTGCCCAATTTGAATGGCCTGATAACAGGCATTTTTTAAAAATGTTTGTTCGATTAAACAGAGGCACATCAACACAATAATGGTTATTTAGTCTCGGGGAAAAAGTAATATTGACAGAGAGAAGTAACGGCAGGAAAGAAAAAAAAAGGGGCGTCTACTAGTGGCCACTTCCAACCTCCTACATTTTGATCATGTTTCGTCCAATCCATGCAGGAAAACCTTGCTGGTGCCGGCCAAAACAAATGGATTCAATACGTAGTGTGCACAAAGCATGGCAGAAAAAAACACAAAGCAGTTAATGATAATAATAATTGCATTATTTATTTATATAGCGCATATCCATGTTCAAGAGCATGCTGTATGCGCTTCACAACTATTATTACCCCAGCAGACCCTCTGAAAACACTCAGAAACATTCTCAGCTTCCGCGGAAGCACACAGTGCAAGCTGCAGATTTCACGCGCTCAAACACTATCAAACTGACAAGATCTTTCACTGTCTATAGCTGGGTACCCATTTCCACCTGGGTGAAGTGAGGAAAATTTGTGCAAAGTGCCTTTCCCAAGGACACAACGTCGGGCCCCTGACGAGATTCGAACCCACGACCTTACGGTTGCGAGTCCGAGTTGCACATAATCTACAGTTCTATTGACTTACCATACCCAAGAAAAATAAGCACTTCCTAGAAAAATTGATAACTTAAATATAATACAATGTAACTGTGCGGCCCTGCTGTGCCAATACAATATAAAATAGAAAAGTAGCATTTTATGAAATTAAAATTTCTAATTAAAGAAAAAAAGCAGAAAGTGATGCACACACAGAGAAAGAGCTCGTAGTAACCAAGGTTTTGAGACAGTTCAAAACATTTAACAAAGGCAGAAAGTGTATCTTACATATCAAAAGAAACTAAAATTTTAACTACCAAAGCATGAAAACAAGCAAAGTTGGGAAAATACAAATATCAGTTACTGACTGATCAACCGGTCATACAAGTGATCATACCAAAGTCCGAAACATTAAAATAAACTTAAAGCTGAAAGCTGAAAGCTGCTGTTGAGTTTGTGTGTTGTAATTTAAGATACAATAAACAGAATAACTGCCACATTAGCCAATATCAGACATAAACAACACAAACTTTGAAAAATAGGAGAAGTAGCAGACAATATCCCAGTGCCCACCAACCATCCATATCAAATATATCATATTATGATTGGGGAGTCATTTTCAACCTCGCAATACATTTATTTGTGGTTTTGATCACATGTGTTGGTGTTCTTGTCTATAAAAGAATAACAATATGATGTGTAGCACCACAAAAAGGCATACATTATTGATCTGCAGTCTAAGGTACCTGGAAAAAAGGGAAGTCTCCCATACAATTTTTTTTTCTCAGGACAGAGATAACAAGTATTTTTCTTGATATCGTAATTGTAATGTAAGAAGAAAAAAAAAGGGAAATGTAACTGTAAAAGAGTCACACCCTCATCAACATTACTTAGATCATTTAGGAGGAAGGCTGTTGTTTGACCCTGCCTGTCAGAGTCAATCCAGGCTAAGAAGGATATAGCATTCCAAAAGAAAAACTTAGATACCCGAGATACTCAATCAAAATTGTTGCCACACGAGAATCAAACTCATGTCTACTTCATGCGATGGCGCAATACCTCAACCGTTACACCATAAACGCACATAATGTAAGGTTACTTCGTAGACAGTTCATCTTGAAAACACAAATCCAAGAAAGTATAATCTTTGGGCTTTTAAATAGCCTACATAAAGACACAATTAAGTGAGTTGTCAATTTCACAAGCACCAATAAAGAGGTAAATATTTCAACAATTCACAGAGGCCACATAGATAAATAGAAGGTCCTTGGCCTCACAGCAACAGAGAACTTAGTATCACGAGAGGAAGGTGCAGGAAACAGGGGAGATAACCCTAACAAAAGATGTCAAGACTCTCAATATCGCCCTTGAAAAGCAAAATTGTCTGAAGTACAAAAACTGCCTTAATTTAGGAAACGAAATAACAATGTAATCAAGTTAATACTACAGTACCCTACTTTAATTACAACACTTTTGACAATATGTTTTGTTAAAAAACAAGAAAAAAAAAGTTCAAGAATGACTATTTCATAATTTACGAAAGGCCAACATTTTCAATCACTGTTTTCTTAAAACAATGGTAATCATACTCAAGACAATTTGGTTTTCATGGGTCAACATGTTAATTCACTGCATACATCTCCCTTCAAATTGGGAATAGTCTTTCAAATGATATGTAAATTGTGGTTATAGAAAGAATCAATGGCACAAAATGTCTCAACGTGGCAGCGACAAAGTTTATAATTTTGTTTATAACCCCCCCCCCCCCCCCCTGAACATGAAAGTAAATCGTGGAGGATAGATCTATCCTAAGAACATTTATTGCGTGTTTGTTTCTAAAGTATAAAGGGTGTATGAGTGTGTGGATTGCATCTGCGTATGGGCGTGTATGTGTGCCAATGTACCTACTCATGTTTTCTTATGAGAGTGTGCACGTGTGTAAATGAATGTCTGTGTGAGTGTATGCATCTTGGTGAGTGTGCTTACAACTCTTTAAGTCTGTGTAGTTATGAATCTGCGCGTAAAACCTTGATTAAGTTGTAAATTCTTATTATAAAAACAAGTGTATCAATATATTATCTAGTGTGAAAAATGCAACTAGTCTAAATAAGACAACATGTTTAAATTATATGGATTTCATATCCTCCACCATTGGTATTGAAAGATACTTTACTGTAAAACTAAAATTTGACGATAAAAAGTATGGGCAACGCATATCTGCTAAAACAAACAGTATATTGAATATACATAATTAGGTAAAAATGTACTGAGTTTAAATAAAACATTCAAGTAAAACTTCTGTGATTTGTCAAAATAAGATGGCCACCACAAATTGTTTAATATTCATTTGCATACAAAAAAGCAATGAAAAAAATAACATTTTAAAATATACAAGCATGCTTTAATTTCTCCCTGAGGTAAAAGACTGTTCATCAATCAGTGGTGAGCTTGGTGCTCTAAGTTTTCACAGAGCTTTGATTTTTGGATTTTGGTCAATATTATAACATGTGCATCATACCCGCCTTCTTTAGACAGTCATTGAAAAAATTTAGGCCTAATTAAAAAACTCAGCACACTTCACAAAAACAATGGAGGTGTGATAAAAGGCACGTTATTGAGACACAGACGAAAACAAGGAGAGAAAAAAACAAAAAAAACAAAGAGAGACGAATCATCAAGAAATACATCAAACAAAATCCAGAAAAGGATGAAATCATAAGATGGAAGCTTGACGATAAAAAATGATTTAATGTGACTTAACATTTTTTCTTCTATAATCTCAAAAAACAAGAAAAGAGGAAAAAGCCCTTTCAGTTTCAAACCTTAATTTTCTCTACTAGTGACCTATAGAATAAAAATGAATTTCCTTAGTGGTACAATTTATTAGGATAAGTTGCTAGGACAGACTGCATTCATAACTAGCCAGAAATTATTCTCTTATAATAGGGATTAGAATAAAAATGAGACTTGAATATTTCAAATAGGCCTACAGATTTAAATAACTCTATTGAGAGATTCTTTGCACAAGTAACACTAACACCAATTATTTCACTGCTCTAAAAAAAATGTTATATCACAATCTTTGTCTATTGGATCTTAGAAAAATTTTTTGGACACTTCATTATTAGATTGAAGCAATAATTTTGAGACAAAAATGTCTTAGCTTGAAAGCATCACACTCATCTCATTATTGACAAACTACCACAATCCACAGAACAGATGAAATTTAAACCTCAGACTGGACAAATACAATGTGCAGCACTACTCCAAAACTCCATTAAAAGATAAACCTTTTCACACACTACCCCTGTTTAGAACAAAAATTATTTCAGTACACTATACTCTGGCTGAAGAACTCCCCGGGAGCCTTTACTAAAGACTCATGTTCACAAGGTAAACGACAAAACAACTAAGAGGTACATACCGCTTTAAAATCTTAAAATCAGATAAAGACAGAAAGATACTATTTTATAAGCAAAACTAAAGTGTAACAAAACCATTGAGCATTCATTTTTATGGATGTGTGCAAAACTACAGGGGACAAGAGTTATGCCCTTCATCTACAGGGTAACCAAACTGTGTCAGAAATACTTAGCATCCTGACAAGAAGCATTGTGTTCATGTGCACAGGAGGGTTGCACAAAGAGATGTGAAAAGTTTAAAAGCACCAGCAGTGAGAGTTCTCATCTAAAACCTTAAGCATTGCATGAAAATATTGAGCAAACAACTGGCAACAATATTGCAAACAAAATACATTTCAAGAACAAAACAAAAATGGTGAATTAAAACATCTTCATTTATTACCAGAGAAGCAACATTATTTTTTATTCTCAAAGACCAATCTGGACTTTAAAAATTCTAAGACTCTTCAAGTGGCATTTCAATCTCCTCTCTATCATTACAAGATGTCAAAAATAGGTAGATCAAAATCATCCCTCAATCCATATGCCCCATATGTGATGAATTTATGGAGTTTGAAACAGCTTTACAAAAATTATCTGAGCAAATTATGCACCCAACAGGCTGACAGTTTAAGTATTATGTCACATAATGGAGGTCAAAAGTCACATTTTCCTCAACATATTACAAAATTCTTTATGCTTTACGTGTCCCATTTAAAGAAAAACATCTCAATAGAGCTGCCACACAGAGTGAAAGACTGATCCAGTCAACATGATTTTGAAAGTTTAGATATATATGATAATTACAGACTGTTTTAAACTCGGTCTAAACAATGGAATGAACTATTTTCCAAAATATTTGCTCAATATCTGGTATGTATGTAAGAAAAAGTAATATGGCTGGAAGCCACTTTTTCTATTTCAAGAACTTAGCCCAGGCCAGGTCAGAAGGTCCAATCTAGCCTCATAAACACGCTCCACCATATTATGAACACATCTGTCACACAAAGTTCAGCCTATTACTGTATTCCATACATTGTTTTTTTGGCATTGCTCTAAAGTTTAATGGATAATGTAATTAATATTATATCAACATTGCATGTTTACCATGTTATGGTTATTCAAAGGACCAAGAAATAGTAAAAGAAAATTAGTGGAACTCACATAATTAGTGTTGTGTTTAATTAAACCCTCCCCCATTAAGAAGGACAATGTTTTTGGTCCCCTTTAATCATTAGTTTTAATACAGCTTTTTAAATTTGATCTTTAATGTCTCCCTGATAGAAAGGAGAGACAGCTTTTCATTTCCAGGGAAAGACTCATACAAATAATGTCCCAAAAGAGTTAATTAGTAAGCTCTTGAAAAAATAATAACATAGTCTTGTTTTCATGAAAAGGTTACAACGCAATTGTTATGAACTAATGAATGACATTACATGCTCATTTTGACAGGATGGAGCAGGTGGTCATCAGCATTCAGTTGTCCGCAGCTCTGAGATCAATCAAAGCCTTAAACCAAGATGCCCGCCTCTTCTAGAATCTCAGCAACATACTGTCGCACTTGAACATGCAAAGCATCTCGTGTCTCGCGGAATACACTGGCTCCCAGGTGGCGCGCTCTGTCCGTGCCGCGGGCCATCAGCACATACAGCGGCTTTGTGTATTTCTGCTTGCCTGTTCACAAACAAAAGGCAAAATGTGTTGTTTAAAAATAGTGGCTGAGAAAGACAAGCTGG